TCGGCACTCCTCGCTCGGGGTGCGATATGGTTCGACCGCCCCGGGGGCCGACCTGGAGTGGTACCCTCGCCGTAGGGGTCGGACTGTGCCGCGCCTTGAGCCGGGCCCCAGCCTGACACGGCGCGGGGCTCCGGTTCAGCCGCTGCTGCTGTTATTGAGCCCCAGCCTGACACAGCGCGGGGCTCAATCACCGCGGCGGACGCCCCCATGTCTTGATTGCCGGCCAGCGAAACAGCGGACATGAGGGGGTCCTGTCCCGACAAGCTAGCTTGGTGTGCCAGCCGTCGGCGGAGGCTCTTGATGGTGAAGCGGGCACAATGCCCGCATGAGCCGGGGTTGTCGATAGCCTCCTGGGCATGTTGCAGCCCGAGGCAGGACGAGCAGACCTGGTGTGCGTCTGTGTCCGAAATCTTCAACCCGCAGCCGCAGAGCCGAGCCTCCGATTCCCTGGCTCCTCTGGTGTGAGGGAGAGACTTGTCCATCTTGTTCGCCATTATGGCGACGTGGGAAGGACGCGCTCGTAGCAGGTGCGTTGCTGAGAAAAGAGAATCACAACCGGTCGTTAATCCGGAGAAAAAATCGACGGTGTAGAATTTTATTCTCAAAGAATATTAACTGGTGTGTTAATACCTTTTTTATCTTCTACTCCTCTGGTGTGAGAGAGAAAAAAGAAAAAACGTCCTCGCTACCGTGGTGTCGGTAGTGAGGGAAGACAAACTAGCAACACGTGTATTGCTAGCTTGAAAAAATCCAAACCTTACCTTTAATTCCAAAGAAATAAACGGCGAGGTAGATTGCAACACTAACTGGTGTGTTAGTATTAACAGTCTTCTTGCAGAAGTATATATAGAAGTAGCCGGCGAGCGCCCGTCGACCGAAGTTAGCTTGGATAGCTTGGTTCCGTCTGTGGACTGTGTGAGCTAGTCCGGCTACCAATAGAGATGTGCTCTGAAGCGAGAAGAGGTGTTTGAATGATGCATGCGGCGTAGCGCAAGCTACTTATAGGGGGTAGATTCCCTGACGCTGACGTCAAGATCACCAGCCAATCAGGATTGGCGTAATGAGATTGATGCTTCTGTTTGCTCCGCGATGAGGCGCATCCCATAGTGAGACATCGAACGGAGTGTTACAAATGAGAACTACTACCTCCGCGACCCGACCACGGATAAGCGGGAGAAGATGGATGTATTGATTCAGTGAGGACTCGATAATGAGCTAGTGGAAAAGATGATAGAATAGAATTGCAATTTTGACAGATCTGGTGCTTCCAGCAATGTCAAAACAGAAGCCAAAGAAATTGTAAGGGACTGATCCCTTCTATTGGATCAAGAAATCTCTTACAAGATGTTTT